AGGGTCAAGGACTGCAGCCCTCAGTATGGACTGAGGCTCAATGTCAAGAAGACAAAGATTCTCACCACTGGATCAATTGGCAGCGTCAGGATGGATGGCGAAGAGATTGAGATTGTTCCCAGCTTCAGTTTGCCCGGCTCCACAGTCAACACTCTTGGCACCAGCAGTCAGGAAATCCAAAAGCGTATCACGATGGGAAAGTTTTCTATTAGGGACCCCTCTAATAGAGCAGCAGTGTCTCTCTGGAGACTAAGGTGTGTCTGATACAGGCCATGATCTTTGCAATCACTTGTTATGCATCAGAGAGTTGGACGATGACCAGAAAGGACAGAAGGAGAGTGGATGCTTTTGAGCTGTGGTGCTAGAGAAGAGTACTGAATGTACTATGGACTGCCAGGCAAACAAACAAATTCATCTTGGAGAGGATTAAACCAAGCTACTCCTTGGAGGCAAGGATTCTGGGGCTTCGTCTGACATACTTTGGACATGTTGCCAGGAGGGACGGGTCCTTGGAGAGGGACATCATGCTTGGGAGTGTGGAGGGACAGCGCAGGAGGGAAAGACCCTCTATGAGATGGATTGATTCGGTGACTGGGGTAATCGGGATGGGGGTGTCAGAGGCAGTGCGGTTGGTGCAGGATGGAGCAGGGTTTGGGGCTGTTGTGCATAGGGTCGCTATGAGTCGCAAAGGACTAGACGACACATAAGAACAACAACAACAACTACAACGAATTTTTTAATATTTCAATCAGCATAAGTAAAAGAATATAAACTATAAATGTAATTTCTATCCTAGAGATTTAATACCGCTATTATGACTACTAAAAGCCACAAGTATAAGACACATGGTTTTAAGCTAGATGCTATTGTTAGCAGGTGCCATAGAATTGACTTCAGCTTGTAACAAATTCCATATACACCAGATGTAACTTTTGCTACCTCCATGAACAATTGCACACTTAAGTCCATTATTGTAGTATCTCATTGAAGATATTTTTCTTCTCCTTCACTGATCCACTAATTTTTCAAGCTTTATGTCCTTTCCCAAGGATACCCTTTCCTATAACATACCCTGTAGTATGTACCTTTATTGTACTTCTCCAAGATTTGTTTGTGCTTTTGACACTCCATGGTATATTCAATGCTCTTTGACAACACAATTCAAAGACATTTGATTCTTCATACATTGATATTAAACATTCATTAAACAAGGTAGGTAGCATTTAAGAGTAGAATATGTAAGCAGAATAAAATGGGATTTTAAATTCTGAATTCAAACTCTATTTTTTACATTCTTCATAATCTTATTTGTTTTTAATCTTGTTATTATGCTTTGATTCAAAATCATCTGAACATTTGATATAAAATCTTTTAAAACTGAAAAAAATATAAAACATTTATCATTTCCTCTCTACTAAAATCATTTTTTGCTTTTCAAATAGCAGCAAAAATCTTAATGGCATTGATATTTGACATCCATGTATATTTTCAATAATGAACACTAATGATTAAAGACTGAGATAATTTGGAATAGTATCAAGGTTACCATATGTGAAAAATTGAAATTTCATTAAAAAAAGAGGACAGAAGAAAGATGCCACTATGAATATCAGGAAAGACTCTGGAACTTGTTCTTATGCACAGACTAGCAGTGGCATGAGAAATAGTGACATAAAGTAACATAACAAAATATTTCAAATACTATCTCTATAAGAAATGTGTAAGAATTATGAAAAACTGTGCAAGAACCTAGGGTTAAGAAAACAAAAAGAGAGGAGCACAATCAATATTTCTCTGACCTACAGAACTGAAGAAAATAAACAAGACTTTAAAAATGAAATCATATATGTCAAAAATTAAACTGTAAGTCTTATTCTGATCATGCTTAGAAAGGTTGAGAGTTGGCAAAAGAGAAGAAGACCTTCAATCAGGTGAGTTGACACAGTGACTGCCACAAGGGACGTTAGCCTCTAGAGTGTTAGGAAGTATGAGGATGGCACAGGATAGATCAGGGTTCCTATCTGTTGTTCATAGGGTCGTTATTTGTCATATTTGACTCAGTGACACCTTATAACAACAACAACAAAAACATATCTATACATCCAGAAAAATGGGAATCCCAGAACACATAATTGTGCTCATGGGAAACCTATGTATAAATTAAGAAGCTGTTGCCTGAACAGAGCAAAGGAACATCATGTGATTTAAAATCAGGAAAAGTGTGTATCAGGGTTGTATAATTTCTCCATACCTATTCAACATGTAAGTTGAGAAAAATCATTCAAGAAGCTAGAATTTGTGATGAAGAATGTGGCATCATGATCAGAATGAGACATCAACAATCTACATTATGTAGAAGACACAACTTTGCTTTCTTAATGTGAGGAAGACTTGAAATGCTTGCTTCAGGAAATTAAGGACTACAGCCTTGAATATGGATTATATCTTAATATCAAGAAAAATATTCTCACCACTGGACAAAAAAAAAAGAGGCAACATTGGGATAGATGGAGAAAAGATTGAAGTTTTCAATTGTTTTAATTTACTTGGATACAATCAATATCCATGGTAGTAGTAACGGAGAAACTAAAATATGTGTTGTCTCGGGAAATCTGTTCTCAGGGACCTCTCCCAAATGCTAATGAGCAAGGTTATCACTTTAAATATGAAGATGTGCCAGAACAATCCATGGTTATTTTAATTTTCTCTCATTCATCTGAAAGAAATCAAAGATTTTGAACTGTGCCAGAATACTTCATAGACTATTTAAAAAAAAAAAAAAGCAAGTTTGTTGGAGGAAGTACAACCATGGTAATCCTTAGAGTTGTTGTTATGTGCCATCAAGTTCCCTATGACCCATAGCGATCCTGTGTACAGCAGCTCTGAACCGTGCCCTGTCCTAAGCCAGTATCTCTAATTCTGACACACCATCCTCCATTGGCCCAGTTACTGTATCAGTTTATCTCATCTGGGGTCTTCCTCTCCTGTGCTGTCCCTCCACCCTTCTGAGAATGAGGTTCTTTATTGCTTTTCAGTACTCTGGAGAGGTACCCGAGAGCAGATTTTTCCAATGCAAATCGTCTTCTGATTTCCTGACTGCTGGTGCCAAGAATGTTGATTGTGGAGCTGAGCAAGGCATAACCGTTAACAACCTCAATCACTTCTCCATCTATCATGGTGCTGCCAATTGTCCCTGCAGTGAGAATTTTTTTCTTCTTGATATTGAGCTCCAATCCATATTGAAGACACTGCCTTGTCCTGTACCATCTTCACAATCATTACTGTGCTTTAGAATAATGCTGTAGTCATTGCATCAATTAATCTCTCTGAAGATTTACTCTTCTTTTCTGACCCTCTACCCTCTTTTTTTCTTTTTTGACTGATCCCTCTGAAAATATATCAAGTGAACAAGAGACATTGTACTATGTAATGTACATTTTGGTTGCACATCTACCAACACATATTGGTTTGGTAGTCCATAGTGTACACACTCTTTTTCACCAACAGTGCAATTGAAAAGCATCTATTATTTGGCTTTCCATATTCATTTTTCAACTTCCAGATGCATGTGAAAAGGCTGAAAATATCATGGATTGAGCCTGTAAAGTTAGCACTCTAAAGGAGTCTTTTGCACCAGATATGACCAAGGTTTTTCATTTCTTGGCTGCTGCTTCTGCGGATACCTATTGTAGATACAAATATATGGAAATATTTTACAACTTCAATCTTTTCTCCATTTAGTAATATTGACTTTTGTTTTCTGTATGTTGAAGGATAATCCATATTGAAACACATAGCCCTTAAGTTTCATCAGTAAATGTCTGAAGTGCTCTTCTTGTTACCGAACAAAATCATCTTGTTACCTAACTCTTAAAATCAATGACTTAAAATGTTCCTTTGGAAACAAGAATGAACAAACTATATACTACTTCTCTATCAGCCTCTCTCCTGCTGTGCTAAGTTGCTATTCTCATATGGCCAAGCTCTCCTTTTACAATTGATTTTTTGTTAGTTCTGCTTCTTAAAATCAATTGTGTGAGAAAGAGTGGAATAGTATTCCCCCCTCCCCCACTCAGTGTAATAGAGTTAATAGAGAGATATGATGGACAGAAATTATAAGGCTATTTCACTAGACTTGCTAGTTTTGGGGAAAACTAAACTATGTTAATTCTACTCATTAGTTAATAACAATTGCATAAATTAATTCCATTACTGAATTCCTATACTTACCTATACCATGTCCAGTAGTAGGTGGGAGAATAATGAGTTGCTTAATTTAGCACATATTATGTTATAAATTTAATTTAGCCTTTTAAACTATCCTATAAAACTCTTAATCTTAGGGTAAACTATTTACTGATTTTAAATGGATAATCTGTTAATACAGCTGCTGCTGCTGCTGCTGCTGTTATATATCTTCAAGTCGTAACTGACTCATAGTTGACTCTCCAGTGGGTCTTCCAGAGGCAGTTAATCGCACATAAGAAAATTGCCCATCTTTCTCCTGGAGTGTACCTGGTGAACCCAAACCACACGCCTTTGGGATTGCCACACAACTTCTTACCACGAGGCCACTAGAGCTCCCTCATTTACCCAACAAAAGACTTCTAATCTTTAGGTAAGGTGGCCTCAATGAGATTAATGATTTCATATCAATTTAATCCCATTTTAGGGCAAAATAGCAAAAATATATATTTTACTGTAAATTCATTAAAAATTATATTTTCATGAAATATTTAAAAACATTTGTTCTTAATTCTTTTCCAGGTAAAAGCTGTAAATTGAGCAATGCATGCAGGAAATAAAACTTCAGAGAATCAAACATCAAGCACATATTTCATCCTTACTGGACTTTTTGATAAAAGTAAATATGCAGTCTCTCTCTATACTCTAATATTTATCTTTTTCTTGATGGCTCTTACTGAGAATGTCCTTCTTATTGTCCTGATTCACCGGGAGCCTCGTCTTCATACCCCCATGTATTTCTTTATCAATCAGCTTTCCCTCATGGACCTCATGTACATTTGTGTGACTGTGCCCAAGATGCTTGTCAGTCAGGTCACAGGAGATAATACAATTTCTCCCTTAGGATGTGGAGTTCAGATGTTCTCCCACCTAACCCTTGCTGGAGCTGAGTTTTCTCTTCTGGCTGCCATGGCCTATGATCGATATGCTGCCATATGTAGACCTCTCCACTATCAACTGCTTATGAAGCCAAGATTCTGCCAAATACTTGCATCTGGATGCTGGTTCCTGGGCATGTTTGATGGTCTTGTGTTTGCTCCTATGACCATGAGCTTCCCTTATTGTCACTCAAGGAAAATCCTGAACTTCTTTTGTGAGGCTCCTGCATTGCTGAAGCTCTCCTGCTCTGATACCACCCTCTATGAGATGCTAATGTACCTGTGCTGTGTTCTTATGCTCCTTATTCCTATAACTATAATCTCCACCTCCTATGCTCTTATCCTGCATCTTATCCACAGGATGAATTCAGCTGAAGGTCGCAAGAAGGCCTTTGCTACATGCTCTTCCCACCTTCTAGTAGTACTGCTCTTTTTTGGCACATCCATCTATAATTATATGCTCCCCCGCCCCTACCACACTGCTGAGCAAGACATAAGGGTGTCTGCCTTTTACACAATCATCACACCAGTGCTGAACCCTCTAATTTACAGCCTCAGGAACAAAGATATCATAGGGGCTTTAAAGAACATTTTGCCACTAGAGAAAAGAGTAAGAAAAATTGCAAATGGGAAAAATTAGAGATTATCTCCTTCTTCTGTACATCCCCCATCCCTATCTCTGCTCTTATTCTGCCTTTCGTTTTTAGTTCTCCAATACTGAGTCCTCCAAGGTTGTCTTTAAATCTTATATGTGAAACAAAACTCCTCCAAAATGCTTATTCTATTTTTATTTCTCTCTTTCAATTCAGTTATATAGAATATTTTTATCTATAACATAGTGAGATAATAAAAAACCATAGTAAGCTCCTTCTTTGTCATCCTAACTTCATTGATCATTTTAATATGAAATTCAGGGAAGGCACAGTGAAGATTTAAGATACTGCCTAAGATATGAAGGGAAACTGGTATCTCATTTTGAAGGAAATCGAAGTCATGTATGAGCTCCTAAATAACTGCCGTTTTACACACACTTTTGTTGCTTTTGTTATGTGTGAGTTATGTTATGGGAGTTATATTGCTCTTGTTATTTTACAAGCCAACTACAATTCATAGTAGCCCTAAGAACAAGGGCTCTGAACTTTGCTTTATCAAGATTCGACTTCACCATCTCCAACATACTACCCTCCTTGTTAGAGTTATCATGGCAATACATCTCATTGAATATCTTCCTCTCCTGCACTGAGCCTCCACCTTTCCCAGAATAAGGTCCTTCTCCAAGGAGTGACCCTTCCTGAAAACATGCAAAATATGAGACACAGTATCACCATTCCTGTCTCCAAGGAACCGCTGGTTTCATTTTCTCCAGGACAGACATATTTGTACTCTTGGAAGCCCATGGGATGTTCATTTTTCTCTAGCACCACAACTCAGAGGCATTGATTCTTCTTCTATTATTATCATGAGTCATTTTACAGCCTTCAGATGCATAGCAAACAATTAAGAAGGCCATGATTTGAATTAGAAGCACTTCAGTCTTCAAACTGACAATGTGTTCACTGGTACTTGGAAGAAGTTCTTGACATCACATTTGCATATTTCCTAATCTCTTGATTGCTGATACCAAGGAATTGTGGATCCAAGTGAGGTGAAATCATTGATAGCTTCAATTTTTTTCCAACCTCTCATGATAATTTTTATTGACCAATGGTAAGAATTTTTGTTTTCTTGATGTTGAGGTGTAATCCATATTGAAGGCCATATTTTACTTAATCTTAATCTTCTGTATCATATTTTAATCGCCTGCAATAAGTGCTTAAAGTCTTCTTCACTTTGAGCAAGATGAGCAAGGTTGTGTGTCATCTGTATTATACAGGTTATTGATGAATCTTCCTCTGATTCTCATTATAAAGTCCAGGTAACAGAGAAAGGATATATCCTGATGAACATCTTTCCTGGTTTTAAACCATGCACAGTGCCCTCGTTGTGTTCACACAATAGCTTCCTGATAAGTATAGAATTCACATGAGCAAAATTAATTTTCTGGGATTCCCATTCTTCTCAATGTCAGCCATAACGTGTTATAATCCACAGAGTAAAACAAATTTACATAGTCAATAAAGCACAAGTATACATCTTTCCTATACTCTCTGCTTTTAGTCAAGATCCATCTGATATGTTTTTGTTGCTGTTGCTGTTGTTGTTATATGCCATTGATTTGCCTGTACCCATAGTGACCCAGTGTACAATAACTCTGAAGTCTTACCTGTCCTAAGCCAGTCTCACTAACTCAACACACTTACCCCCACTGCATCCATCTCATCCAGTGTCTTCCTCTCCTGTGCTGTCCTTCCACCCTTCTAACATGATATCCTTCTCCAAGGATTTGTCCCTCCTGGCCATATACCCAAAGTATGTTATATGGAGCTTCAAAATTCTAGCCTCCAAGGAAAAATACAATTTCACCTTCTCTAAGACAGACCTATATACTTTCTTGGCAATCCATGATATGTTCAAGACTCTTCTCCAGCACCACAACTCAAAGGCATCAACTCTTGTTCTATCATTCTTAGTCATTATCCAGATCTCTGATGCACAACCAGTAATTGGGAAGACCATGGATTGGATGAGTTGCACCTTAGTCTCTAGACTGATATTGTTGCTTCTCAGTACTCTGGAAAGGTCCCTGACAAGATTTACCTAATGCAATTCATCTTTTGATTTCCTGACTGCTGGTGCAAAGATTGTTGATTGTGAAGCTGAGTAAGCTGTAACTTTTAACAACCTTAATCTTTTCTCCATTCATCATAGTGCTGCCAAGTGAGAATCTTTGTCGTCTTGATATTGAGCTTCAATCCATATTGAGGAATACAGTCCTTGACCCTCTGTATCAAGCACTACTTCAGTTTTGCCTTGCTTTCAGTAAACAAGGTTGTATAATCTGCATAATGTAGGTCGTCAATAAATCTTCCTATATTCCTGATACCACGTTCCTTCTCATAAAGCCCAGTCTTCTGAATGATCTCTTCTGCATATATAAAAAAGTATGGAGACAGGGTGCATCTCTAACACACTTCCTTCCTGATTTTGAGCTATGTAATGTTTCCCTGCTCTATTCTAACGACTGCTTAGGTTTCACATAGCATTGATTATGTGTTATTGATTAGTGTTCTGGGATTCCCATTCTCCTCAAGGTTAAGCACAATTTGTTGTGATCCACACAGTCAAACACCTTTGCAAAGTCAATGAAACACAAATGGATATCCCTCTGGTACTCTGCTTTCTGCCAAGATCCATCTGACATTGGCTATAATGTCTTCAGTGCCAGAGCCTCTTATAAACCCAACTTGTGTTTCTAGTAGTAGTTCTATGTCAATATATTGTTCCAATCATTTCTGGATAATCTTCAGGAGGATTTTGTTTGGGTGTGATATGAATGATATTGTATGGTAATTTCCACACTATGTCTGGTCCTTTTTTTGGAATGGGAATAAATATGGACCTCTTCCAGTTGGCCAGGTAGTTATCCTCCAGATTTCTTGGCACAACCTGGTGAGGACGTCCAGGGCAGTATCTTTGTGTTGAAATATGTCAATTGGTATTCCATCAATTTTGGGAGCTTTATTTTCTTGCCCTGCCCTTCAGAGCAGCCTGAACTTCCTCCTTCATCACCATTGTCTCTTGATCGTATGCTATTTCTTGAAATTCATCTGTGTCAGCTAATTCTTTTTGGTACAGTCACTCTGTATACTCCTTCCATCTTCTTGTAATATTTCCTGGATCATTCAACATTCCACCCTTAGCATCCTTAAGTATTGCGACTAAAGCCTTGAATTTATTCTTTAGTTTCTTCAGCTTGAGAAATGCTGAGCAAGTTTGGCCCTTTTGATGTTCGGACTCCAGTTCTTTGCACATTTCATTATGAACTTTGTTTTGTCTTCTCATGCTGCCCTTTGAAATCTTCTATTCATCTCCTTATTTTATCTCTCCCTGGTACCATGGCCTCCTTGATATACAGCTTGTATGTTGGGCATTTCTCTGCCATTGTACTATTTTAGCTACTTTTTAATAATCTTTAACAAGATTTTACTTGGATTTCATAATAATTAT